AACATAAAAACAACATTAGTGGGGTTTCCATCTATCATTTCAATAATCTGACCAAAATGCCAAAGGACAAGATTCTACAATGTCATGAAACACGACGTTAAAATATCTGTTTGGTCATGAAATTTTATAAATCTAATCTTTAAATATTTTCAAGTTCCCAAAAATTAGCTCAAACCATTTTTGGGACTTTCGGACTTCTATTCACAAAACTTCAAACTTTCCAGGACAAAATGTATGTTCAAACGCAACATCTATGGTTAAACGGGAGCTAAGAATGATATACAACAATGTGATGGAAGTACTAATCTTGCTTCAAAATCCTAAGCTAGCAACTAAATATTTGTTTGGTCATGAAATATAAAAATCTAATCTTTAAACCATTTTTGGGAGTTTTTAGGACTTTCAATTACAAAACTTCAAACTTTTTACCCAATAAAATGTATATCCAAACGCAACTTCAAGAACTTAAAATCTATAGTCAAACGCGAGCTAAAAATAACAACACTAACACCTCTTACACACACAAAAAAAACCCCATATGGTTAAATTCCAAAACAATGACAATGGGACAAAAAAAAGGTTTACCTGTTGAGCCATGACCAATATTACCCTTTAGGTTTTGACTGATATTTGATAAAGATTGGATTTTTATGACTTCTCAAGAGAAATGACAGTAAGGGTCACCTTAAAATCTCTGGTTTAACCTGAGATATGAGACAAAAGAGTGAAAATTTTAGTTGTCATTTCATTGAAGAAGAGGAATAAACATGGTTAGCAAGAAAAATGGCATTTTCTATTTCTAATTAGAATAAGAACAAGTAGAATGGAGTCAAAAGATTGTAATTTTTTTTTTTTGGGTTGGGGGGGGGGGGGTTTGCTTTTTTGATTTTGTTGATAGTGATTATAGAAACATATAATAATTGTAATGTGTCGATAAAGGTGATAAAGTAAACAGACAATGCAGAGAGGTTTTGTCTATTTTAATTTTAATAAAAAAAATTTAAAAATAAAAAAAAATATCGATTAATCTTGCTTAAAAGAGAAAAGAATTTATTCTTTATTTTAAGTAAATTTAAAAAATATTAAGATCAAATAAATTAGGAAGAGAGAGTAGAACTAATGACATTAAAGTAGCTAATTAGCTTTCAATACTTAAATACTGTCATTGTCAGATGACCCCATCTTTTTTTTCTTCTTTTTTTTGGCTCAACCATTGAATTAACAATTCATACAGAGAAATGCTTTACTTTTGTATAATTCTTTTTTTTATTTGATTTTTTAAAACTAGTTACTAGGGTTGTATTATATTTCGGGTCAGATTAATAAAATTCGAAGTAATATATATTTTTTATTCGATGAATGAAGTGTTCCAACGAACTAGACGAAAAAACTGTTCTTTGTTGATGAACTTTAAGAAATGATTATAGTAATTTGAGCTTAATTAGATATTTATAAATATAATTTGCTTAATTATGATTCATAACTATAGTTATAACGAGTAGGGAGACGAGCAGGATTGAGAGACAAGCGAGATTAGGGAAAGAAAGGAGAAATGTTAGATACATGATATATTTGAAGAATACATATTGTATCTACAAATACAATCTGATACATATAGATTGTATTCGATACATACATTTTGTTAAAGGGAGGGAAGATGCGATCAAGATTGGGATAGAGATGAGAAAGGTCAAATTAGATTGTATTCGACGAATACATGTTGTATCACTATGAAGATTGTATAATGTGTATCAATGTGAAAATTGTGTCTCAGATTTTTTATCGGTATGTTTCTATTAGAGGCTGTATATATCTTTTTTTTTTATTGAAGTTTGGTATATCTCGTATATGTATCAGTATGTATTAATGTAAGAGACTAGTATGGACACAGACCTTACTTCTCTATCTTATAAAGATAGAAAAAGTGATAAAATTTATCCCAATTTAATCAAATATCTGAAGTTCAAATTTTAAAATTAAAAGAACTCTTATATCACATGAATTTAGTTTAATCAAACTTTTATAAAAACTTAGATATCATACTATTAAAATTCAATATCTGCAGACAGATAGGGAAAAGAAGAAAAAGATGTGTGGGGTAATGTTTCTAATAGTTTGAGATGGTTCCATTGATGGTGAAGGTAGAGAATCCAATAAAGGTAGAGAAATTATTGTAATTTTTGCTTAGGTGTATACCAGTGGCAACAGGTTATGTTATAAAAAAGTCTTCAAGCTTCATATGGGCCTTTGGTTCTTTTCTGGCCCATTTTCATTTTAGGACCCACATGATAACATATTACTCCTTCTCTTTTAATTTCTATACGATATAGTCTGACTGAACATAAAAATCAAGAAAAAATTAAAGATTTTTGAAAATCATGATTTATAATGTCATAATATTTGTGTGATTATTTGTAAATTATCTTGTTAATACTAAAGTAAATATTATAAAATTAAATTATAGTATTTTTTTAAAAAAAATATATCATATTAATTGAGACCGATTGAAATAATAGACAAGAAGGTTTAGACAGAGAAAAGAAGGCATATAGGCCCATCACTACATCTCCCTACTTGGTCAAAGTAATTGATTACCTTAACAATTAATTAGACAACTTTCAAGTACTCTCTCTCTCTCCTTTTATTTTTTTTTTTGTTGTGTGTATATATTTTCCAAAATAAAGCAATAGAAGTTCCACTTGACCCATGAAATTGAATAGTCAAAAGGGTAGGAACAAAAAAAAATGTCTCTATCTATGACTAAACATTCTTTGAGTTTCATAAAAATAGTCCAATGACCAAAATAACATACAATATAAGTATGTTAAATCATATCCCTACTAACTATGTTAACACTACGACATTTTAGGCCTAGTCATTCCAGTAAAATATAGCCTAAATTAGCAAAAAGTGTGGCCTTTAATAAAAGGCTATACTTTTGGATTATAAGCAACGGTTTTTCAGGGGTAGCTAAAAGAGGCGTTACCTTAGAGTAAAGTATTATCTTATTAGCTACGCTCAAAAGCGTAGCCTTAAAGGCAAAAGGGCCACGCTTTGCAGCTACGCTTAAAAGTGTCGACTTATCAGCTACACTTTCAAGTGTTACGATTTTAAAGTATTGCCTTTTCTATCTTACGTATGACAACACTTTGAAGTGTAGTCCTTTCCCATTTGCATACCACAATTTACACTACTATGTGTGACGTACCGCCATCCATTCAGGCCGAACGCCACCCAACGAGGCAGCCAGCAGGCGCAGCAAGCGCAGGGGAGCAGGCTGACCACGCAGGTCAGTAGCCAAGGGGGCCTGCAGCAGCTGAAGAGGCAGCAGTTACAGCAGTTTCAGCTATTACACTTGTTAGTGGGGCGGCTGTTACAGGAGTTACAAGTCTTTGAGAGGCTTGTGGAGATCATGGGGCAGACTAGGAGCATCTAGGAGTCCTTTTTGGAAGACTTAGAAGCTTGTCTTGTAGGCATAGTCTTAGGAACTTGTATAGATTATTTACTAACTCTTAGGCAGCATTAGAGTAGTATAAATAGTAGATTATTTTACTTGTAAAGCATCCAATTATTTTCAAGTAATAAAAGTTCCTTTTTCCAAAGTTCTGTCTTACTTCTTATTTTCTTAGCGATCTGAGTTTTAGGCTTACTAGAGTTTGCAAGAACGTGCAAGAGTCATGAGTAAACCATCTAGTGCCGCACGGAACATAGTCCGAATCAAAAAGTCCGTGACAGTTGGTATCAGAGCGAAGGTTTATCGTAAGAAAATGACGAATGGAGGAAACGGTGGCGGCACCCCCAACGTTCAGGGAGGAAAGAAGAACAAAAAGGGAAAGAACAAGAAGGGCAACGAACCCAGTCTGCCCAACCCTCCACCAGGCGACCTGCCAACAGGCAGTCTTCCACCAGGTGACCTGCCATCAGGCAGTGTCCCCTCGGGCGACCTGCCGTCAGGCAGTGTTCCATCAGGCGGTTTACCATCAAGCGATCTGCCAACAAATGATCCTCCACCAGGCGACGGACAAACATTTTTCCAGGAGAATACAGATGAGGAAAGTGAAGACGACGTCAGCGAAGACGTTATAGACGTCACTGTTGGATCTACGCAAGCGGACTGAATTGGAGTTGAAGGAGTCCATTACTTCCTTGGAGTTCAGGTTGTTGGATGCCACCACAACGATCCAGACCCTGAAGAACAAGGTAGTAGCCCTCGAAGAAGAGAGGGAGGTTGCAGCAACAACATCACTTGGCCAGAAAAGGGAGACCAGGGTCGAGGTTCCCAAGCCACCAACATTCAAGGGTGTCCGGGACGCCCTAGAGGTAGGCAATTTCTTATGGCACTTGGAAAATTATTTCAGGTGTAATCGGGTCAGGAGCGATGCAAGCAAGATCAACACTGCCGTGTTGTATCTTTCTGACGTAGCCATGTTGTGGTGGAAACGCAAAGATGCCGAGATCAAGAGGGGCACACGCACCATCGACACATAGGAACAATTCCTTGAGGAATTCAAGAAAGCTTTCTTCCCCAACAATGCTGTTTATGAGATGAAGCGCAAACTTCGGGAGTTGAAGCAGACGGGAAGTATTAGGGCCTATGTGAAAGAGTTCACAATCTTGACCCTCCAGATTCCCCAACTCACGGAAGATGACATACTGTTCACCTTCATGGACGGGCTGCAGAATTGGGCGAGGACCGAGTTAGAGCGGCGTCAAGTAAAAACTATCGATGAGGCCATCACTCAAGCTGAGACCTTGACAGATTTCAAACATGATCGTTTGGACAAGGCGAAGGGCAAGGAGGCAAAGGGCAGTCAAGCTAAAGGCGGGGGAGACCGTGGCCGAGGCAGAGAACCGTCGGCACAACCCAAGCAGCAAGACACACCAAGTCCGATGGCAGACGGTTCGAACGCCGGAAGTTCTCGGAGAAGCGGACGCAGTCCAGTAGAGGAGACGGGTGCTATATATGTGGCGGACCACACGGTTACGCCAGGTGCCCAGAAATGAAGAGTCTTAGTGCCATCGTCCGTGAGCGGAAGGAAAAGGAGGCACAAGACAAGGCGAAACCGGCAGACACCACTCAATTGGGCATGGTTGGAATCTGTGGTGCCATAGCAAAGCAGGCTGACAACCCGGGGTATTTCAGCACACAATATGTGAATATCTCCATCAATGGGCAAGCAGTTCGGGCCATGGTAGATTCCGGGGCTGAGGCTAACATCATGACCAAGGCGGCGGCAGAGAAATTGGGACTGAAAATTGTTCCAAGCAACAATCGCCTCAAGACAGTCAACGCCCCACCAACTCCCGTGTGTGGAATTGCTCATGGGGTCAGCATCACTTTAGGACGGTGGAAAGGTAAGACAATCTTTACCGTAGCTCCTTTGGATATATCCGATGTCATTCTTGGGCAGGAATTCTTTCAACGTTGCCACACAATGATCGATCCCTACCTTCAACAACTCATGGTGATGGAGGGAGAAGGGTCTTGTATGGTGCCTCTTATTAGGGTGCCGAAGAAAGACGGATATGCCCAACTGTCGGCCATGCAGATTGTGAAGGGCCTGAAGAAAGGAGCGCCAACCTTTTTGGCCACCATCCGCAAGTTCGAGTGAAGACCATGGTGCTATGCAGCCACTGCCACCTATCATAGAATCTGTTTTGCAGGAAAACAGCGATGTGATGCCGGAGGAGCTGCCGAAGACACTACCTCCGAGGCGCGAGATAGATCATATGATTGAGTTGGAGGCGGGAGCCAAGCCACCTGCGCTTGCACCTTATCGCATGGCTCCGCCTGAATTAGAAGAACTGAGGAAGCAATTGAAAGAGCTCCTCGAAGCAGGTCATATTCGTCCATCCAAGGCACCCTATGGAGCGCCGGTGCTGTTTCAGAAGAAGAAAGACGGGTCGATGCGTTTATACATTGACTACAGGGCGCTCAACAAGATCACAATCCGGAACAAGTATCCAATCCCGCTGATCGCAGATTTGTTCGATCGTCTTGGAGAGGCCAAATACTTCACCAAGATGGATCTCCGGAAAGGCTACTATCAAGTGCGCATTGCAGAGGGGGATGAGCCAAAGACAGCATGCGTGACCAGGTATGGAGCATTCGAATGGTTGGTGATGCCCTTCGGCTTAACCAACGCACCTGCCATATTTTGCACGCTGATGAACGAGATTTTGCATCCCTACTTGGACCAGTTCGTAGTGGTGTACTTAGATGACATAGTCGTCTATAGTAGCACTTTGCAGGAGCATGTAGAGCACTTGAAGAAGGTCTTCAAAGTTTTGCGAGAAAATCAGCTCTATGTCAAGCGGGAGAAGTGCGAGTTCGCCCAACCAAAGATACATTTCTTGGGCCATGTGATCAGCCAAGGTGAGCTTCGTATGGACGAGGCAAAGGTAAAGGCGATCCAAGATTGGGAAGCGCCTACGAAAATGACCGAGCTACGTTCTTTTCTTGGACTTGCTAATTATTATCGCAGGTTCATCAGCGGGTACTTCGCTATTGCTGCACCACTGACCGAGCTGCTGAAGAAGAACAGGCCTTGGTTGTGGAGCGAGGAGTGCGAGGAAGCGTTCGAGGGTCTTAAGGCTGCGGTTACTAAAGAGCCAGTCTTGATGCTGCCTGATTTCACCAAGACCTTCGAAATCCATACGGATGCTTCTGATTTTGCCATTGGGGGAGTCTTGATGCAGGAGAAGCACCCCATAGCATTCGAAATCCGGAAGCTGAATGAAGCAGAACGACGGTACACTGTGCAGGAGAAGGAGATGACAGCCATTGTGCATTGTCTATGCACATGGAGGCATTATCTACTAGGCTCCAAATTTGTAGTAAAAACTGACAATGTTGCCACTAGCTATTTTCAGTCGCAGAAGAAGATCACACCAAAGCAGGCTCGTTGGCAGGATTTCTTAGCTGAATTTGACTACAACTTGGAGTACAAACCAGGAAGGGGCAATGTGGTAGCCGATGCATTGAGCAGAAAGACTGAGTTAGCGGCCATCTCCTCAGTCCGTAGTGAATTCCAAGGCGCAATCAAAGACGGTATGCAACGCGATCCGGAAGCCAAGAAGATTATGGAGCTGGCTGCTCAAGGCCAAACCAAACGGTTTTGGGTAGAAGACGGATTCTTGCTTACCACTGGCCGGAGGATTTATGTACCAAAGTTTGGGTTCATCAGGCGGGCGTATTATCAAGGAAAGCCACGACACTCCGTGGGCTGGGCATCCGGGACAGAAGAGAACGAGGGCGTTAGTGGAGGCCTTCTATTTCTGGCCACGTATGCGGGAAGAGATTGAGCAGTACGTGCAAACTTATCTAGTGTGCCAGCAAGACAAGATAGAGCAAAAGGCAACCAGGAGGGCTGTTGGAGCCACTACCCATAGCTGATCGTCCATGGGAGAGCATATCTATGGATTTCATCACTTCCTTGCCGAAGTCAAATGGGTTTGGCACTATTATGGTCGTAGTGGATAGATTTTCCAAATATGCTACATTCATGCCTGCCACAGCCGGTTGTACTGCTAAGGAAGCTGCACAATTGTTCTTTAAAAATGTTGTGAAGTATTGGGGGCTGCCGAGGTTCATCATTAGTGATCGGGATCCTCGTTTCACAGGAAACTTTTGGAGTGAACTCTTTGAGATTCTTGGTTCAAAACTTCACTTTTCCACCAGTTTCCACCCCCAAACTGATGGCCAAACTGAACGTGTCAACGCCTTGTTGGAATGCTATCTCAGGCACTATGTTAGTGCACATCAGAAAGATTGGGCTAAGCTCCTAGACATGGCGCAGTTTTCTTACAATTTGCAGAGGAGTGAATCTACAGGGCGCACACCGTTCGAGTTAGCAACGGGCCAGCAACCCCAAACTCCGCACTCATTGCCAACATTGTTCGAGGGGAAGAGTTTGGGCGCTTACAACCTTGCCAAGGGTTGGGAGGAGTAACTCGACCTTGCCAAATCTTATTTGAGCAAGGCGGCAAGGAGGAATGAAGAAGTTCGCCGACCGCAAGCGTCGTCCCACCAACTACAAAGAAGGTGATATGGTTTTGGTAAAATTTAATCCGAGGCAGTTTAAGGCGCTTAGAGGCATGCATCACAACCTGGTGCGGAAATATGAGGGTCCGTTCAAAATTGTTGCCAAGGTGGGTAAGATTTCATACAGATTGGAGTTACCTCCACACTTCAAGATCCACCCGGTCTTTCATGCCAGCGTCCTTAAGCCTTATCATGAGGACAAGGACGATCCCAGCCGGAACAAATCACAACGGGCCCCTATCACCGTTACTGCCTCGCATGATCGTGAGATTGAAGCTATCATAGATTACCAAGCCAAGCGGAAACGAGGACAGCAGGCCAGTGCCATGTTTCTCGTACATTGGAAGGGACAAACTCCGGAGGAAGCCACATGGGAGAAGTACGAAGACTTGTGGCAGTTCAAAGACAAAATTTAGGAGTTCTTGCAGCAATGCGTCGCGGTCGTCGCATCATGGGGTGGGGGAGATTGTGACGTCCCGCCATCCATTCAGGCCGAACGCCACCCAACGAGGCAGCCAGCAGGCGCAGGGGAGCAGGCTGACCACGCAGGTCAGCAGCCAAGGGGGCCTGCAGCAGCTGAAGAGGCAGCAGTTACAGTAGTTTCAGCTATTACACTTGTTAGTGGGGCGGCTGTTACAGGAGTTACAAGTCTTTGAGAGGCTTGTGGAGATCATGGGGCAGACTAGGAGCATCTAGGAGTCCTTTTTGGAAGACTTAGAAGCTTGTCTTGTAGGCATAGTCTTAGGAACTTGTATAGATTATTTACTAACTCTTAGGCAGCATTAGAGTAGTATAAATAGTAGATTATTTTACTTGTAAAGCATCCAATTATTTTCAAGTAATAAAAGTTCCTTCTTCCAAAGTTCTGTCTTACTTCTTATTTTCTTAGCGATCTGAGTTTTAGGCTTACTAGAGTTTGCAAGAACGTGCAAGAGTCGTGAGTAAACCGTCTAGTGCCGCACGGAACATAGTCCGAATCAAAAAGTCCGTGACATATGGCTACACTTTAGTTTGGTAATAATATTTTGGCTAAAAAATATTTATATTACACAGTTTCTAATTAAAAACACCAATATTGTTGTGCAATAAATGATTTCAAACATCAAATTAACTAATAAGTCATTTAAATTAGATTTGTAATAAACTTCAAAAGATATAATGTCTTGTGTCCCTATACATACTTAGAAAGAAATATTCTAAATGTGTACGCAATAGTTCAAAAAGTAATATATCAATAGTTCACTATTCACAAAATCAAATATAAAATTTTCAAACTTTTCCAATAGTTCAAAAACAGACATCTTCCACTTCAATGAGATAAAATTGATTGTCGTGGCCCTTCATATTTGATCAACTCTATTTTCCTACACATTTAAAATAAAAATAATTAGTCTTAGGCTTGGAGGTATGATGCACTAATTGCCAGAAAAAAAGAATAGACCAAAACTTTTAAAGATCCGTGGAAGAAAAAAAACACTCAAGAAAATATGCAAAAGGAATAAATAGATTCAAGCAATCTGAGTGTATAACCTGTATTTTCTGAGTGCATGAAGTTATAGTAGAGCTCAACTCTTTTCAGAATTTCCAACACTGTATTATAGCATATTGCAGCAGCTATATAAGAGTAGTAATTTATAATAGCAAAATGCAGCAGCTGACTTTAGTACACACTATAACCTACTGTATATACTGTAAACTGATTCTTTAACATGTACAACCATTCTATAACCTAAAGACACAAGATCCAGGCTGCAATTTTGGTTTCAACAGATTGCATCAACTATTGTTGTTACATCCATGCTGCAATTTTGCTTTCAGTATGCAGTTACCATAGTGCGAAAATGTCATGATATCAACAGAGAACCAGAAGATAAAAAGAATAAAAATTTGCACCTAAGCTTGTTGTAGTATTTAGAGAAGCGATATTGTAAACAGAAATGATATTGACGACATCCACAACACCTGCAAGGTGAATTACAAGATTATCATATCTCCAACACGTGAATGTAATATGACTTGGGCACTGAGCGGAACACTTGTATTTCCCACGTTAAAGCTTGTTGTAGTCTTCAGAAGAGCGGCAAAGCGAATTAGAGGATTATCATATCTCCAGAACATGAATGTAACATGACTTGTTTCAAATTTTTTTCCATTGGTAATATCAATTATGAGTACTTTTGTGCCTATGAAAGAACTTACTATTCCAAGACTGAGGTCCATCATTGTGGTGCCTGAATGGTCTGAAATCGCAACATGAAAACAGATAAATTATTTCTGATGCATGTTTGGATTCGACTGTAATATCACTGAGGGGAAGACAAAAGTAGTAATGAAATTAACAGCTAGGATCGTGGTAGCTTGACAATAGAAGACATCAACATGTAAAAGCAATATCGAATTTATAAATTCATGGAAGAACACAAAGCAAAATGAAATTATTCCCTACTATAGATAAAGTAAAGTGTAATAACTTGGATGTGCAATGCTTCATAAGGTTGTATGAGGCCTGAGGTGTAGTTTCAGTCATAGTCATCTGTTACCTAAGGTAGAGAGAAGTGTGAGGGGAGT